TCATGTAGTATATTTTGACTTTTCCTTTTCTGCTTAACTCCTCCACTTTCTCAACATTTCTGTAAGTTTTGTAAAACTCCTCACATTATATCCACATGCATTAGATATATATTTGTTATCATTTCATCTTCTTGAAGCAATCTCCTGTGGAGCGTTGTGCTTTGCCCTTATAGCAGTTCCCTCAAAGTTTGTCCACAGCTATACTTCCCTTCACTTCTCAGGAAGGAGGTCTGGTTCACTGTTTCCCACATCTTCCTCTTGGCTACCCCCTCCTTTTGCAGAAGCGCATTCTTTCTAGGTTCCTAGAAAAAACTCAGTGCAGGGATATTTTTTGAGACCTTGTGTGTATTAAAATATTCTCACTCTACTTTTATACTTGAATGATAATTTGGCTGTCTGGAAAATTCTATGTTGGAAAAAAGTTTTCCTTCATAATGTCATCATCTAGCTTTCGAGGTTGTTGCTGAGAAGTCCGACTCCATGCTGACTCCTGATTCTGTGTGTGGAATCTGATTTGCTCGCCTTTTTAGCCTTAATTCTGACCAGAGACCCTGTTTTAGTTAGGATGCCTTCAGCAAATGAATGAAAATCAACTCAAAATGGCTTAAAAAATAAGGTGTGTTTCATCTAAGAAGTCCAAATGTAGGACAGCTCCCAAGATAGTTAATTCATTGATAAATGCCATCATCATTGACCCTAGTCTTTCCAGTTTCTAGCTTTTCCTTCCTCCTTCCCCCCCTTAGATTAGCTCTCCTTATGGCCTCACGGTGGCTGCAGCAGTGTCAGGTGTATCCAATATCCAGACGCAAGAAAGTATAAAAGAGGAAAAGATTGTCACTTCATATCTTTTCTAGGAGTGAGGAAACTTCTCCCAGAAACCCCCAGTCGGTTTTACCCAGTCTGATTGGTGAGACTATCTCCCCTGCCCAAGCCTAAATCAATCTTTGACAAAGGGAGTGGCACTACCTTGATTGCCTCAGATTAATCAGGATTCATCCTCAGGAATTTAGGAAGTAGCCAGCATCCACACAAGTGCATGACCAAGCGAAAGAGTGTACATACCTGAATAAAACTAGAGCTGTAACAGCAAGTAAAAGGGGAAATGGTTTGGGAAGGCAATCAACAATATCTACCATACTCCTGGACATACTTTAATTGATCCTATTATGGAAGTTCATATGGAAAATATGGAGTTCCCCCAATATTCATATCTTCAGGCCTCTGACTTTGCATTGGCTCCTGATGTTTCTATAGCAATACTGAAGCATAGGCTTGATTTTTGGGGTCTCCCTAGGAAGTCCTTTACCTCTGTCCACTTGACTGACATTGTATTAACTTCCTCTATAAGTGGAGTCAGTGTTGGTACTGGGTGCTCCCTACCCACTGAGGTGGGGCCCTGGCTGCAGCTTTGTACTGAAGCTCCCCCCTTCTCCCACCATCACCAAGGCTAATTGGTTCAAGGAGAGGATGCTGAACCCAAGTTGAACCAATCAGATTCTCTCCCTATTTGATATGAGGACTGAGAGAAAATCATTTGCTTCAAACTATAACTTCAGCCTCAAGAGGGGCAGCCATATTCCATCTTGTACTTTGGGGTACAGAGAACTCAGCTAGCAGGGAGAAGGAGTAAATGCACAGAGAGAAGCAGAGATGTGATGGGAGTGGAGCGCTCCTGGCTTTCCACATCCTGATGTCAGGCCCTGCCTGCCTGAGGGAGGGCTGGCTGCATTCCTGCCCTTGAGTCTACTGAGATAAGCCAGCATTCTTATTATAACTCTCCCTTTTCCATTTAAAATAGTTCCCTGGAAGTTCTGCTATTTTTAACCTAATCACCTTAAGGAGTTATGACCAATCCTTCTGGACTAGGGCTATAAAATCTCAGAGCTTGTGACTTTATCATGTGGCATGGGACCTCTTTCTCTCTCCCTTATCACCAGGTTTTTTTTTATTGCAGACCTTGTGGGGAATCTGGTGTGGTTGGGAAGGGGACCTGAGGTGTGGCCAGCAAGAATTAGCAGAAGAGTTTGTGTTTGGTTCATGCAGAGACTAGTAGGATATTTCAATTTTCTTTCATGTGGCATACAGTAAGCATTAATAAATATTTGAACAGATGAGCCGTCTATAGCTCAGAAATCTGATTCTGATAAAAAAAAATGAAAATTTAAAGTGACTGTGAATAGCTGTTGTGTCACACTGAACTATGAAAACTCAAGTGATCATCCTTAATCGTCGCACCTGTGGTGGCTGTGTTGGGGTGTCGGCCTTACATTTACCAGCTGGCTTCTACCTTCCGGTTATGCAGCTAGTTTGCTGTGGGTAGGACAGCTCTAGTGCTTAGAGAAGTCTTAAGGAGTCACAAACAGGTTGGGACCCGAACAAACGCTTTTGCTCAGAATCTTTGCGTTGATTTGCCACCTTCTGCCCAACTTTCAACATTTCTCAACCTGGCTCCTCTCATGTATGGCGTTAACTGGGACAAGTTGGAACTACAGTTCTCAGAACTCCTTTGCTTGTGTTAAAGTTGAGAGAGAGAGGCGCTAGCATGAGATTTGGTAGGTAGAAGTAAAACAGCAGCCATGCTTTGGGAGAAACACTCAGAGAGGTTGGCATATCCCAGCTTATCCCTGCTGTCCACCATTCTGAGTGAGAGAGACATAGGTGGTGGCAGATTCCATATGACCTTGGCTCCCCTGCTCCACACTTAGCTCTCCTCTCAAGTGCAGGCCCTGCTGATCAACAGACTCCAGGCTGGGCAATTCCACTCTGACAGCTACGTCCCTGGCTTCCCAGATGACTTTGCAAGCTCCAGCTTGCCCACCTGTGCTAGCACCAAAGAGGGCTGGTTAGTGACTTTTCTCTGATCCTTCAGATTCAGACCTTTAATTCCCCAGCTTCTCCAACAATAGTGGGTGGTAACTATGCTTTGTTTGCTCTGCCAGATGTCATCATAGCTTCTAGCATATAATGAATCCTTAATACACATTTATTAAACTAATGATCTTTAGGTTATAGAAAGAAGAAACAGAAAACAAGGAAGAAGGAAAGAAAGTACTTCTCTCATTGAACTGGCCCAGATGGTGGAGATTCTCTTCCGCACAATTTTTGCTAAGAGGAAAAGGTGCTTTCCAATCTCTTATTACTTATTTCTTAAAATAATTCCACAAGGCATATTCCTTAAAAAAAAAGAAAAACAAGAAAGAAAGAAAAAAAAAGGCCCATTTGAAACAGAGAAATGAAAGTAGCTGGTTTAAGATCCCGGGGCAAGCGAGGAAGTAAGCTAAAATTAGAACTTGTAGTTAGGTTTACCCTAACTACAGCTTAAGTCTACTCAGCAACTCACTGAGTTTCATCTTCCTTTCCTTATCAAACCCGCTTTTGTTCATCGACACCTCTCCTGCCCCTTCCCCATACACACATGTGCGCTTGTCCAAACACCACAAGTAAAAAATATATGAATGTGCTTCTTGAAATTACATTCAAGTTAATTTAATGGCTATTTATTGAGCATCTATGTGTAAGAAAGCTTGCGCTGCAGGCACCATGAGGACAAACAGAGGGCAGATGTGTTGTAGTGTTCCTACTGGAGAAACCATGAGGGACCACTGTTACTTATTACTTAATTCCTAGTCTCAGTACTCTGGCTTTTTCTCATTCCTCACTTGAGTCTTGGAGTTGTGGTTTCCTCATGAACAGAGACCCAAAGTAGCTTACTGAGATTCCTCAGAAATACGTCCTCCAGGCCAGGGCCCCTCACGGGAAACACTTGGTTATTCCCTTAGGCAGGTGGTTCTTAAAATTCACCCTTAAACCTTTACTTGGGAAGCCCCTGTAAAATGCAGAATTCTGGGCTTCCTTTCTTACTAGTTCTCCAACTCCTTTCCCTGCAGGTTAAAATTCAGGATGTCCATGGAATTTGTGTTCTTCACAAGACTCCAGGTGCTCATCTGATGCAATGGTCTTCAGGCCACTCTTGTAGAAATGTCCAAAAACACCCGAAAGAGAATCACCTGGGCACTTATTTTTATTTTTTACTAATTTTTAGAAAAATTATTTTTAACTATAGTTGACATACAATATCAGTTTCTTTTTTCTTTATTTTTTATTATTAGTTTCAGGTGTACAGAACAATGCAATAGTTAGCCTTTCCACCCCTCACAAAGTAACAACCCCCCTCCTCCCATCCACTGCCCTCCCACCCCTGGTATCATACATATTTATTACAATTCCATTGACTTCATTCCCACACTCTACTCCACATCCTGTGACTATATGTATATATAATTATAGTTGACATACAATATTATTCAACATCAGCTTCAGAAATACAGTGCGGTGGTCAGTCCTCTACACCATCCATGAAGTGGTCTCCCTAACAAGACATGAGTCCAACTGGTCCCCTAAAATATATTTACAACATTATTGATTATATTCCCCAGACTGTCTTTTCTATCCCTGAATACAATATCAGTTTCAAATGTACAACATAGTGATTTGACATTTACATACCTTACAAAGCAATCACCATAAGTCTAATAACCACCTGTCTCCATACATAGTTACTATGATGGCACCTAATTTTAAAAAGCTGATTCTTTTTTTTTTTTTTAAAGATTTTTTTTTATTGGGGAATTGGGGGGATGGAACAGTGCTGGGGAATTGGGGAAAGGGGAACAGACAAGTTGCTGTCATTTTGTTCTTCAATCTAGTTGTGGAGGATGTTGCTTCATTGGCCCAAGTTGGCACCATCATTGCGCTCTTCTCTGGCAAGGCAGATCAGTCGCCGGCTTCTGGACGGCCGCTCACTGCGGCTGCTGGCCGCTCACGCTGGCTGCTGGCCACACACGGTAGCCCATGGCAATCCACTGCCACAGGGACTGCAGCCCACGCTGTCGCCGGCGACTCATAGGCAGCCCAGCTCCAGGCTGAGCTGTTGTTCAACATCTTAGCTGTGGAGGGCAGTGTCACTGGCCCTCATATGTGGGATCCGAACCGGGGCCCTCTGGCATCCCAAGCGAGTTCTTAACCATCGCGCCACTCGGCCGGCCCTAAAAAGCTGATTCTTGATCCCTACCCCAGACCATCTGAATCAGAATTTTGGTGGCAGTGCCTGGGAATATGCATTTTTAACTCATTCCTCACTTGAGTCTTATGAGTCCACAGATCCCCATTTGAGCAATATTGTTAGAACTCCTCGTGTACATTTAAAGCCCTGTTTAGACACAAAGCCCTCTACACAGAGAAATAGAAAAAAAGGAAGGCCCGTCTAATAAAGATTGATTTTAGAATCATCCCTTCCTCACGCTTAGAATCCGTTCCCAGTTTATTGCTGATCTGAGCAATAAGTGGTTGGGTTCCCAAGGTCAGGCAGCCCTCGTACCCACGGAGGTGGTCAGGACCACTGACGGGCCCATGGAGCTAGCCCTGATTTGCAGACCAAATGTCATCTGCAGGTCCGTCAAACAGTAATGGGAACCTCAGGAGCCTAGGAGGTGTCGGGAACCGGCTTCCTGGGTAATGGGGGCTGTGGTCTTTCTGGGGCCAACCTCGGGTCACCTGTCTGCTTCCCCACCCCACCCTCCTGATAGCCTCCATTCTCAAAACCATGTCTAACATGTCATACCAGATGCCAGTTTTGTAAAACATAACTGTCACTCAGATCTCTTAAAAAGGGCATAACATGGCCCTGTGGAATGAAGGAAGAATCTTGAGACTGATGTGGTTGGAATCTGGGCCCTTTCCTAGGCCTGAGTTTGGACCAGCTACTGGGCCCCAAGGTTAAGTGCAGAGTGATAACTGCTGGGAGGGGCTGTGTGAAGTCAGCAGAGCCAGTGTGCAGAGCGCTCAGGAGGGCCACAAGATAGGTTCCTGACTCCACGCTTCCTTTTAACCTCATTCCTTCCTCTCCTCTCCACCCCTCACCCTCCCTGCTGCCATCACCAGCACTCCTTTCTAAATCTGAAAAGGCTTTCTCCAGCCACCACCAGACCCCCTTTTGTGGAGGACTCCTTTCTCTCCCCAGCCTTCCACAGCCCACACCACCACTCTGTCATCTTCAATGCTGTAAAACCTGCTTCTGAGGCTGAAAGGGAACATTTGCTGAGCCAAGTGCCAAGGACTAAAGATACAAAAGCAAAAGTGCTTAGGGCAGTGCCTGGCTTGTTTAGCAAATTACAGCTATTACTCACCATTGTTCTGCTATTTATTTCTCACAAGGGCTCTGGAGAGTCGGTCCTGACTGCTGATTGGCTCCTATTTGCAGGTGAAAAAAACTGGGGCTCACAGAAAGTAAGTAATTTGCTCCTGATCACATAGCTAGAAAGTGGTGTAACTGGAATTTTAACCCAATCTATAGACAGCTCCGAAACCCATACTTTTTCAACTGCAGTTAATAGGACCTCAGTCGCAGGTCTTACATTCAGAATAAATACAGGAAAGTCTTTTTAAAATCAACTAGCTCTGGAGATATATACACATATTTAATTTTTGTGTGTGTGAAATTAACATGACTTATCAATGACTTCAAAAAAGTCACCCAATATTTATAGGGAAAGTGACAGATTAAACAAGATAGAAAACACATTGCTAGTTGCTGACATTGGGTGACGCATAGATGGAGATTCAGTATAAGAATCTCTCTGCTTTTGTATGTTTGAAAATCTCTTCCCTGAAGAGTTAAAAACCAAATTTATTCCACATCTGCCCAAGAGCTAATGATTACAGATTATCTGTAGGCCCTAAATCAGGAGTGGACAGGCCACATTTTGTGAGGATCCTGTTGTTGAAGATTTTGAATACTAAGTTTTTACTATTTAAACTCTTAAAAAAAATGAGAATTTATGTTTATTGTATAATATGGGCAAGGCATTCTTTTAAGTGCTTAATAAGTGTTCTCAACTAATGGCCAGAACTTTGCCTGTGACCACCCCTTGCTATAAGAAACACTGGGAAATTGAGTATCTAGTAAAAGAGGATAAAACTACTAGGGTCTTGACTTAGATAAATGGGTGATGAGACTGGGGACACATTAAGTCACTGGGCAGTGTTAGATTATTATTATTTATTATTTTAAAAATATAGAGAGCTTTACTTAAATATTTTCAGGTACACAAGAGAGAGATTTATGTCACATGGCACATCAAAGTTCCCTAAGTATATCTTTTAACATCTCTCTGTCCCCAAAGTCCAATTTTTATATCCGTTGCCCTAAGCTCATCCTGTCTCTCTCGAAAAGACTGAATACTTTGGATTTATCTTCACTGTATGCTCTTTCTATTCTTCCTCCTCTTAACTCCTCCTCATTTTCAGGTCTTTCTTTCTATGTCTCTTTGTCTCTTTCTTATATAAGCGTAATCCAGCCTATTGTGTTAGATATCGATTGGAGGAACAAATTACTCCAAATTTTGTGGCTTAACGTAAGCATGTTATCACACAGATTCTGTGCCTCAGGAATTTGAGAGCGGCTTCATTGGATGTTTATGGCCCCAGGTGTCTCATGAGGTGGTAGTCAAGATGTTGGCAAGGGCTGCAGTCATCTGAAAGCTTGACCGGGGCTGGAGGGTCCACTTCTAAGATGGCTCACTCAGATAGCTGCTGACACGAGGCCTCAGTTTCTCACTCCATGGCCTCTCCATAGGACTGCTCAACATGACGGCGGACTTCCCTCACAGAGCGAGTGACCTGGGAGAGAAAGAGAGCGAACGTGCAGTAGCCACAGTGCCTTTTATGACAGGGTCTCTGAGTAATACTGTCACTTCTGTCTGTTAGAAGGAAGTCACTAAGTCCGGCCCACACTCAAGGAGAGGGGAATTAAGCTCTTCTTCTTGAAGAGACGTGTAGCAAAGGGTCTGTGGGTATATTTTTTAAGCCACCAGATATACATATCATTTAATTTTCACACCTAATTTTTTTTTTTTAGGATGCAAGGGAGAAGGGGAAGAAGGAACAGAGGAATGGGAAGAAAAGTGAGTCATGGGTTGGTAGCTGTATGAGTCTCCTAGGGCTGACATCATAACAAAAGACCACAGACTGGGTGGCTTAAACAGCTGACATAGATTTATTTTTTCACAGTTCTAGAGGATCTAAAAGTACAACAGCAAGGTGCCAGCAAGGTTGCTTTCTGTGTAGGCCTCTCTCCTAGGCTTACAGATGGCCATGTTCTTGCTATGTCCTCACACGGCCTTTCCTCTGTGTGCACACACTCCTGGTATCGCTTCTTCAGAGGACACCAGTCCTGTTGGATCAGGGCCCCATCCTTATGACCTCATTTAACCTTAATTATCTCCTGAAAGGCCCTTTTTCCAAATCAAGTCACATTTGGGGGTTTAGGGCTTCAGCATATCGAACATATTGATTTGGGGGACACAATTTAGTCCATGACAGTAGCTATGTGCGACGTGTGCTTTGCACATTACTTCTATTAAAATCATATTTTAAAATAAAATGGCTTTGTGGCTTTTTTGGACATTACAAATATACTATACTATTTAAAATAGTCACCAAAGTTACAAGATTTTTATAAACAATATGTAAAGCAATAATCTTTACAGGAACAAATGAAAGTGATTCTTTAAGCATCTTTTTATCGTGAAAAATAGCTCATGCAAAAAGATACATAAAACATAAATATACAATTTAACAAATTATGAGAAAGTAATCATCCTTTTAACTGCTAGCCAGGTTAAGAAACAGAACACTGCCTGCAAGTCAGAAACCCCCTACATGTACCTTCCAAATTATAAGCACCCCTCTTCCCCCAAAGGTAACCACTGTCTTGTCTTGCACAATATTCACTTCATTACCATTCTTTTTTACTGCCTAAATATGCATTCCTATTGAATGTTCAAGGCCCTAAGGATACAGGAGTGAAGTAAACAGAAATTCCCTGCCCTTATGGAGTTCACATTCTGACAATAATCGGTGATCACGTAAGAAACAATAAACAAAATAAACTATCTGGGATGTTAAAAGGTGATAAATGCAAAAAAAAAAAGGCAGAGCTGGCATTTACTTGGCTCTATTAGCATGTAATGATTTCAACATTAGTAGGGAGGTAAAGGGAGAATTGAAAGTATGGAGGCAAGAAAGTAAATGCAAAGAGGAAGGACAACAATAAAGAAAAAAGAGAAGAGGGAACACCAGAGGAAGGAGAAAGAGAATGTCAACAGCAGAGAGAAATAGAACAGGTGTTAAAAAAAGAGAAGAAAGGGAAAAAGAGAATAAGGTAGAGAAGGAAAAGTGGGAGGTTAAAAGTTCTCTCACCTGGAGGGTTATTGAAAAGACCCTGAGCCAGAACCACTTTATTTATATTTTGGTAAAAAGGAATACAGCAGGTCCTCTAACAACATCATTTTGCTTTGTTATAATGTTAATAAGATGCCATAGGAATTTACTCTTGTTTATATCAATTAGTCTATGGTAAAATTGTTTTCCATAGTTGCAAGAACCTATCAACGACATTAAATGAGGATTTACTGTACTAAATTCTTAATCAGAGAGGGCAATTTCCTGTATTTCACATTGTTCTGTTTAATATTTATTTTATGTAAGCTAAAACTTAGCTAGCATGAAGGTATTCCTTAATACTTGTGCAAAATTTAAGCAGTTGTTGTAGAGATGGATGTTTTAGAGCCCATAACAGACGACTGGGCTGAGCAGAGGCCATGCAACAGGCCTGGAATTTGTGAGAATTGACAGCTATTAATCTAGTAATCTTCTTAAAAAAAAAAAAAGCAGGGCAGTGTAAGGGGATTGACTTACAAGGATGAGAGATGGTCGTTGTTTTTTGTTGTTTTTTTAAATTTTCTTGAAGTGTATTTGGCATATAATAATAGTTTCAAGTGCACAAAATAGTGACTTGACATTTGTATATCTTAAGATGTGATCACCATAAGTCTAGTACTCAACTCACTGTACAAAGTTATCGCGATATTATTGACTATATTCCCTGTGCTGCAGAGAGGTGTGGGTTTGACTAGAGTGTTAGGAAGAGCCTCGGTGAGCAAAGGCTTGATGGAGGTGAGAGACTTACTGATGTCTGGAGGAGGAAGACTGCTCCTGGTAGAAGAACCAGCTAGTTTAAAGGCCTAAGGCGGTGCATTCATTTCATAGGACTGCGCTGACAAAGTCCCATAAACTGGCTGACTGGAAAAACCCCAGAAGTCTATTTCCTCATACCTCAGGGGGCCAGTAGTCTAAAATCAAGGTGTTGGCAGGGTTGGGTCCTCTTTGGAGGCTTGGAGAGAGAATCTGTTCCTTCAATCACTCCAGTCTTCGCCTCCATCATCACATGGTGTTGCCCTTTTGTGTTTGTGTCCTTTTTTGGAAGGACACAGTGATCAGATTTAGGCCCCACTCTCATCTAATAGGAACTCAACTTGATTACATCTGCAAAGGGCCTATTTCCAAACACGGTCACATTCCTAGGCACTGGGAGTTAGGACTTCAACATCTCTTCCGGGGACACAATTCAACCTCTGCCAGATGGGAACATGCCCGGCCAGCTTGGGAAACAGCAAGGAAGCCAAGGAGGTTCTAGCTAAGTTAGTTACATTTAAGAGATTTTACTTAACTTTGGGATAGAAATGCGTTAGTTCTAGCATTGTTGCATCTCTTTCATTTCTTTCTCAAATATATAGTATACACGTATGTGAGATCAACCTTAAAAATTAAAAGCATAGAGATTACAATGCCTACTAAGGAGCTGAAGGGGGTGTCCTTTGATTTATTGTTGGTACCTTAAAAGTAGAAATGGAAACTGAGAAACAATTAAGAATTGGTGATTCCAGTTAATAATACAGTATTGATTTTTAAATAGAATCATACTGGCTGCTGTGCTAAGAAAAATTGTCATGTCCAAGACTGATAGGTCTGATTTTACTAGTTAACCTAGTAAAACTGACTGATACCCAGCTAATCAGAGGCAGAGCAGGGATTCAAACCCAGGCAGTCTGGTGCCAGGGTCCATGCATTTGACTTCCACCGGCTGCGACCTGCAGTGTGTCTCTACTCCTGGTTTTAACCTGTTACCTCAGGCACCGCTGGCAGAATAATGATTTACCTGCTTTGATTCCAAAACCCAGGAGGGAGTCAAGAACAGGGGGAGAGTGTGTGTCCTGACCACTGAGGACAGAGAAAAACGAGTTTGGTCTTTTTGCAGTGCAAGGCAAGCCCTATCTCCCCTCAAAACTCACACAGGCACATTCTCCAAAAAGGAAGGAGATCAGATCTTGGGCAGCCAAAAAATGACAACTGCCCACTATAATTTTGAATAAACAACGTGGTACCTGAAAAGAGAATGGGAAATGTCAACCTAGAATTCCAATTAAAAGATATCAGGGACTTATTAAGACACCATGGGAGAAGAAAAATCCTCCTGGGCACTGGGTCTTCTCTTTATAAATTAAGTGACCTTGAATCACACACAGTGCTAATCCAACTTTTGGGTTGTGTCACATTCATACGGTTTTCAGTGCTAAATCAGTACCACAAACTTTAGCAGTCTAAAACCCTACCCAATTATTATCTCAAAGATCAGAGGTTTGGGCCTGGCATCGCTGGGTTCTCTGCTCAGAGCCTCACATGGCGGAAATGAAGGTGTCAGCTGGCCTGCATTCTCATCTGATAGGCTCTTCTGTCAGGGTACAGTGTCTCTTTGGTGTCTCTTCAGAGTCCTCTTCCAAGGTCATGGAGGCTATTGGCAGAATTCAGTTCCTCGTGGTTATAAGATTAAGGCCCTTGCCATCTTGCTGGCTGTCAGCAGTGATTGTTCTGGGCTCCTAGACAGCAGCTTATACAGGGTGCTGTACACAGGTTGTTGGGAATTTTGGGAGCTGTATTAGTTTACGAGGTCTGTCATAGCAAGTACCACAGACTATGCGGCCTAAATAAACAACAGACATTTACACCCTTGACATTTTTTTTAAATTATTTTTTATTATGAAATACATATTTTTCAGAATTAGTTTCAGCTGTACAACACAGTGCAATAGTTATACTTTTTACCCCTCGAAGTGACAACACCCCTCCCCCAATCTGCCACCCCATGGGTTGGTAGCTGTATGAGTCTCCTAGGGCTGACATCATAACAAAAGACCACAGACTGGGTGGCTTAAACAGCTGACATAGATTTATTTTTTCACAGTTCTAGAGGATCTAAAAGTACAAGAGCAAGGTGCCAGCAAGGTTGCTTTCTGTGTAGGCCTCTCTCCTAGGCTTACAGATGGCCATGTTCTTGCTATGTCCTCACACGGCCTTTCCTCTGTGTGCACACACTCCTGGTATCGCTTCTTCAGAGGACACCAGTCCTGTTGGATCAGGGCCCCATCCTTATGACCTCATTTAACCTTAATTATCTCCTGAAAGGCCCTTTTTCCAAATCAAGTCACATTTGGGGGTTTAGGGCTTCAGCATATCGAACATATTGATTTGGGGGACACAATTTAGTCCATGACAGTAGCTATGTGCGACGTGTGCTTTGCACATTACTTCTATTAAAATCATATTTTAAAATAAAATGGCTTTGTGGCTTTTTTGGACATTACAAATATACTATACTATTTAAAATAGTCACCAAAGTTACAAGATTTTTATAAACAATATGTAAAGCAATAATCTTTACAGGAACAAATGAAAGTGATTCTTTAAGCATCTTTTTATCGTGAAAAATAGCTCATGCAAAA